TCGTGRTCTTCGCTGGAGCCACCTTTGACTGTCCGTACAGTAGTGAAGTGCTCAMCATGTTGTCTTCGCCAAGCAGACGGAGATAGATGGCCGCACCAATGGCGTCTTTGCTGGCGTCTGCGAACGCGTGGAGTTCTGCTCGCACGACCTGCTCAAGGTTCTTTGGTTGGTAACAGCGGGCCACTTTGATGTTTTGTAGATCAGTAAGTGAGTGTTTCCAACGCTTCCACTGGCGGGCAAGATCATCAGGTAGGGGGTCGTCCCATCCTAGTGACTCGCCATTTCTCTCCTTTCCCATGATTACTAGACTTTGGAGGAGRAGTTTCCCTTTCAAGGTCACCGGTACTGCGAGGCCCATCGGATCGTAGATTGAGTTGATGACAGATAGGACGCCCCTCCGTGTAAATGGTTTCTCTGGGATTGTGACCTTAAAGGTGAATGAGTCGTCTCCAAGGTCCCAACAGACGCCAAGGGAACGTTGAGCGGGGAGAGGGTCGCGGCTTAGGTCGAGTTCTTTCACTTCGCTGGCTCTGTCGTCGGCAGGGAAGGCTTCCATGACTTCGACCGAGTTGGAGATTATCTTGTGCAGCCTGATGTTTGATGTGGCAAGCATTCCTTGGGTGTTTTTAATGAGGGTGGTTACTTCGGTAGCTGTTGGGCGTGAAACAAGCCCATCATCTACATAGAAGTTCCGATGCACAAAGTTCTTAGCATCTGCGCCAAAGACCTCCTCGCCGTCATCTGCTGATCTCCTCATTCCCCATGTAGCGACTGCAGGGCTTGGGCCATTGCCGAATAAGTGGACAGTCATCTTGTACTCGATTATCTCCCCGCCTACRTCRTTGTTCTTGAACCACAAGAAGCGTAGATAGTCTTGGTGCTTGGGATTGACGTGGAAGGAGTGGAACATCTGTTCCACGTCGCACATTGCACCGACGCGTCCRTGACRAAAGCGGATAAGGACACCCAGAAGGCTGTTGGCCAGGTCTGGGCCCGTTAGGAGCTCACCATTGAGAGAAGTGCCTTTGAACTCAGCTGATGAGTCGAATACCACGCGAATCTTGCCGGGTTTCTTTGGGTGGTACACCCCGAAGTGCGGTAGGTACCACACTTGCTGTTTTGGCCTGTCGGTGTATTCGTTGGCTGTCCGGTCGCTTTTGGGAGCTTCGATGGCGTGACCGCGTGAGAACATCCTGTCTAAAAACTCGACGTAGTCTTTCATCATTTGCGGCTTTCGCTTGAGCGTCTTCAATAGATTTCGAAGCCGGTGAACTGCGTAGTCTCGGTTGTTTGGCATTGTAACGTCTGGAGAGCGGAAAGGCAGAGGCATCACCCAGTTGCCTTGGCCATTTTTGTAGCTTCCTTTCTCCATGATCTCACAGAATCGCCGGTCCTCGAATGACATAGCGACCTCGTTGTCTTCCTTGGTTGTGAAGTAAACGTTGTTCGATAAGCTCTTTTCTTCCTCTCCCTTCAAGTCCTTTAGTTCAAAGTGGTTTTGGCAAGGATTGACTTCTAGCTGCTGGGACTTGTTGACATTTTCCGGTATCGTCGATGCGGTCATTTCAACATTAACGTTTGTGTTGCGAGCAGTGATATGAACAGGACCTCCTATTCTGTCTAGGCATACCTGTCCTGAGATCGTCCATCCCAGGTCTAGAAGTTGGGCCCATGGAGCGCCTCTCGGACCGTTTTTGAATGCTCGCACCTTCAGCAGTTCCGGTGCGTCTCTTCCGATCAAGATCTGAACCTTTGCTTGTGGATCTATCGGAGGGATTTCCCCAGCGATCCCACGGAGGTGGTCAAAACGCATCGCAATTTCTGGGGTTGGGATTTCATGCTTTTCCTGTGGTATGTCGTCGCACTCTATTARTGTCGGGAGTTTTGAACTCTTTCCATTAGCGTTGACGATGAGTCCGGGAACGCGTCGACCGTACATTACTGCCTTGTTGGTGCTACACGTTGAGAGTAGGTATCTTCGAGGTGGTCCGTCGATTTTGASCTTGTTTGCGAGGTCTGATGTGATCATTGATGCGTTGCTCTGATCATCGATAAGGGCATAGRTGCGGTGAGTCTCGTTTGGGCGATCTTGGTGGTGGATGTTGGYAAGGATGATCTTGCTGCATGAGAGTCCTCCTCCTATCAGATTACATATTGACGTGCACTTAGAAGATATATCCTCGCTGTGTTCCTTCTCCTTATGCAGAAAGGTTTGGTGACGATCGCTTTCGCATTTTCCACAACGAACTTCAGCCTGGCAGTCCCTTGCGATATGACTTGCATCGAGGCAGCGGTAGCAAAGTTTTGAATCGAGAATCCACTTTGACTTTTCCTCAAATGATTTTTCGCCGAATGCCTTACACTCGTCTAGCGAATGACCCTTGCGTTGGTGAAAGAGGCAGTACTTCTCCTGTCCGCAGCTGGTGTCCGTCTTGAATACTCTTCTTATGCTAGTTTCTTGTTGAGAAATACTGACGGTCCTCTTTGTTTTGTCCGACTGGTTCTTCGTGACGTTAGTGCTCTGYACGCCGCTGGCTACGACGTTTGGATGGCCTTTCATCTTGGCTTGGCTCGTGATCATAGATGCGAAGACATGGAAATCGGGGTATGAGTCTTGATTCTTTTCGGCATACTTTACTATTTCCTTCTCCCACTTGGACCGCAGGAAGGCTGGCATTGACTCGACGATTGGTCGCAGGACGTTTGGGTAATTTAGACAGCCGAGCCCGGGAAGATAACGTAGCTGGCTGTCGACGTCTGCACAAAGATCTGCAAAGGTCTGTAGTCCTATGCAATCGTCGCTATGAAATTGTGCTGTCTTTACCATGCGCTCTAGAAGTATGTTTGTAATGGCGGCTGCGTTTCCAAATCGCCTTTGGAGCTCTTCCCAGAGGCTTAAAAGTACTTTTGATGGGTCTTCATGTTGCCTAYGGCGGAAATTGTCGACTACTTCTTGAGCAGCTCCAGTAGTGAAGTTCCTTAGATAGTTTATCTCTTGGGAGGCTGAGACTTCTGCGTCTGCTATCATAGCTTTGAACGATCTTTTCCAGGGATGGAAGAGAGTCACGTCGCCACCAAATATGTCAGGGTGACACTTCGGTAGATTTTGCCTTGAAATTTCTGCGACGAGTCGCTGGTTTGTTGCGGCGAACGACTCCAAGAAGCTGTACTCGTCGTTGGGTGTGTTAGGCGTTGACGTCAATAGGCGCTTGCTCCTTTCTCGCCTAGTCGTAACAGGGGTTGTAATTGTGGGTACTTCTTTAGCTGGAGGGGCTTTGATGTCTGGCAAACCATTGATGTCTCGCGGGTCTTTGATGGCTGGCGGATATTTCATGCAGGCCGGAGGATCTTGAATGGCTGGCGGTTCTTTGATGGCCGGCGGGTCTGTGGTGGCTGGCGGGTCTTTGATGGCTGGCGGATATTTCATGCGGGCTGGAGGATCTCGAATAGCTGGCGGTTCTTCGATGGCTGGCGGGTCTGTGATGGCTGGCGGGTCTGTGATGGCTGGCGGATCTGTGATAGGTGGTGGCGTATCCTGGCCGGATCGAATCCATCGTGCGACCCTGTCTGCGAGGGGCTCTTCGATCTCTTCAATCTCTTCAATATTTTGTTCTTCGGCCCTCGAGGCCTCTTCGATTGCCAGTAATTTCGCATTTGCGATGGCTTCAGCCCTTTCGGCTTTCAGCACAGCTAGTTCGTGGTCGTCTTTAGCCCTCTTCTCTTCCTGTCGCCGTTTCTCCTCCGCTTCCCAGAGCCTTCGCGCTGTCTCTTTTTCAGCTATCTTTCTGTCGTACTCTGCCTKTTTCTTGGCTGAGGCCGCTTCGGCTAACAATCTTTGTCTCAGTATGCTTGACGATGCCGAGACGCGAGATGCTGATGTGAGTCCCCGGCCTCTTGAGGATTGTGATAACACCTCKTCGGGACGATCGTGTTGTTTAGTAAGCGCTCTTGCACGTTCCAGGATGCTGAATTCCTCCGTTACTCGTGCCTCCTCTGCATAGTCCCCCCACTTGTCTTGCTCATATAGCGCTGCGARCTCGTCGAGAGACTGTCTACAGCRAAGGGACGCTGTCCGAATCTCTTRTAGCGAGCTGCTGTTCAATTCCTTTTCTGTTCTCCTTGCGTTGTACAGCTCTCGTAGAAGTCGTGCGTTGTTGTCTACATCTTGTCGTTTGACGTCGATAGCGTTTCCAAGCGCTTTTCTTGAGAGTGTGCGTTCGCGTTTTTCGTTTGGCATGCTTTCTGCCATGGCGACACAGGGATCCCGTGAACCGATCGTTCGCAGCTGAATTTCTTCTTTCTCTAGCGTCTGGAACGATATCTCAAGCGCATGGAATTACAAGTGATTGATGTTTGTTAATCATTAAACGTTGAGCTCAGTTTTCAAGGGTTGACGATTAACTCTAGACAATGGCACAGGGATCCCACCAACTAGAAGATCAAACGTCCGTTCTTAACTCTTTGTCTTGGATGATTCAAAGGTATACACGCGAATCGATAAGTAATTAGACGATAATGTTCTGACCTTGGAATTCTGTCGATTTCGTGTAGATTGAGGAGGCTGTTAGTAGCTCTCGATCATCGATTCTCCAGTTCGGTTCCAAGGACCTTTTATTGTCCGTCTCGTTGCTCCATTGGTCTTTCGGCGGGCGTGCRATGRATCTGYAGGATCCTAGTGTCAGTCTTCTTACTTTATTACGCACAATAGTMSCAGATTTTTCACTGTCGCGTCCCCAGTCGATAGCGAATCGCGGAGACGCCAGTGTCAACCAGTGTATCAACTTATTCTTTATTAATCCACACGGTGAAAACTACGATAAGCAATTACAATTACAATAGGTAGATAAATGTTAAAAAATACAAGTAGAATAAACGAAATATAGCACTTACATCTGGTAGGCGTACAAGTAAATCAAGCTTTGTATGAATACTGATAGCATGTGGTGTGTAGAGACTATGGAGGATATCAAATAACACCGGAAATGCTTANTGTTTTTCAGTCATTGCTTTGTATGACTACGCTGCGGCACGAGGTGATGAGCTGTCATTCACTGAAAATACTGTCATTTACGTGGTGAAGAAGAATGATGATGGATGGTATGAAGGGGTGATAGAAGGCACTGGTGAATCAGGGTTGTTTCCAGGAAACTATGTGGACCCTATTCCTTAATAATCCATCTTACATATACATTTGTCTTAATGAGAATAATTTTGAATCCTACTGAGCTTGGTTTCCATATATTTGAATATGATGATTGCCAAGCTTGATAAAAAGTGTAATCATCGCAGGAAACAAATCAAAAGGCAACTCTTGTGATTATAGTGATTCATCATCTTGTGGTCAAGATTGCTAGACAAGATTAGTTTTTTTGGCAATAGCATTCATGCAAAAGCCAGACTCATGCTTTCAGAGAGATTTTTGATATTTTAAAAAATTGAATCAGTGATGTTTTTGCAAACCATATATTTTACAAATYATTATAGTATAAAGTCAAGTAAATTAAAGTACGAAATGCTTACTAGTAAACTTGCTTTAAACCCAAATAAGAAATGTTTAAACATTTAAAATCATGTTTCATGTTCTACTTAAGGACACAGAMTGAGGTGTATTGTAAATAGCAGGTCATATTCACCATAAACCCAATGTAAAGATGATTTTGATAATAAAAATATTACTGYTAAAGTCAATTGAATTCAAAAACATTTCTTCATGGTTGTTCTTATTGAATGAGATGCAACTATATGCAAAACCTGAGGGAACTCTATGAAGATGCTATATTKTAGTAAATTTTGAAAGACACCCCTAAAATGTACCAAAGTCTTATTAACAGGTTGGGCATGGCCAACATATGTGGTGTGATCCATGCCTGGTCAACATGGAACCCTGTAGTAAAACGACACCAAAGCATCAAACCAAGGGGGGCGAGGGTGGGTGTTACTTCCCTATAGTTACTCAGGGACTACACGTTCTGCCAAATAGGCTATCTTGAATGGGTTAGGGTTTAGAGTAAGAATGGATTAACCCCGTTTGAATCTGGATCAAGATCAAAATTTGACCTGAACTACTACAGTATCCAAAAAATTGGACACCAAGAATCCTTGTTTTTTCTGACTTCCGTCCGAAAGTCTTTTTGGGTTCCCTGTGTAAATAATTTTATCCATATGACGCAGACCCAAAGTTACGCRGGCTCTAGTGGATTGGCGCCTGCTTGAAAAAAAGTGGGAAAAATTCCTCAAAATTCACAAAAATTGTCGCATGCAGATTTTAGCTTTCATATTTTTACTTCAGAATCTCTCACGATGGGATTGATTTTCTCAAGATGGAAGGTAATCAAGTGAGTTATGTTTGCCTGTTTCCTTGAACTGGTTTGTTTTACTTTTGTAAAAGTGATGTCTATTTTATAAAGCTTAGTAGCTTTCAGTTTCTTTGTGGGCGATTCATGTCTGTAAAATATGCGATCTGTCACAACTGGGTAGAACGCAACATCTGCTCAATATATTACCTTYATGATTACAGAAAAAGAAAACGTCCGAAGAAATTTTACAAGAACTGCAAAAGGTAAGATTTTCATACTTTAATAAGCTTAAATTAGGGGTAGATTTTTATTGTGAAATATTTTTTTGCGAAATGTAGCTGATCAAATATCAATGACTCCATTTAATAATTTGCATGGGGAACTGGCTGTCCAATTTGAATATAAATTTTAATTTTTTAGACAAAACAAGCCTTAGAGAGATGAATAAAAGATTAGTTGAATTGTGATATTGTCGTCGTTTGCAAATTCTGTGATGGCATTGAACTGAGGACATGATCTAGATCTATCTATGTCGTTCCTTACTTGAATTAAGTTAAATGTTTACAGTGCAAAAGTGTTTTATAATAGCTTTTATCAAATGATTAAAAATAAACTCAAGATTTGAGAATATAAGCTTATCTGGTTACTATAGATATTACACTACTTCTAAATGARAAAGAATGAAATACAAAATATATAAGAATTATTACATTTAAAAGACTGTTGTGCACCCCTTTGGCAACGAGTTGTCATAGGATGCTCTTGTCAATAAAATTATTGAACAGGGTTCGTGCTACTCCTTGAAATTCTTGAAAAGTTCAGGAATTAAAACTCGAGGGTGTTTGAAAAGCACTTGAATATGGGGAAAATCGCTMAAACTCCTGGAAACTCCTTGAATCTGATAAAATTGACATGTTGCTAAAATTGACAATGTAAAATTTCCAAAAACATCAAAGATAGCCCTCGAAAATTGCATTTTTGTGCTTAAAAAGTACTTGAAAAGCCCTGGAAATTGTAGTGAAAATGCAGCACTTAGACAATGCTTTATCTTTTTCAAACAGTGCACACTGATGCATTGCCTTAACCTTTTTGTAAGAAAGGCTATAGGAGGGTTAGCTCTTGTGGAATGTCATATTTTTCATTCTTTTTATTTTCAGGACATTGAAACAATAGAATCAAGCCAGTATCGTAATGAGCATCTTCGTAAGAAGTACATTGGCATGCTTCTTCTCTACTCAGTTCTCCTGTACATAATAGTTGCGCTAGTGTTTTATTTCAAGTATTTTCCAACAAATTGGAAAGATAGAGTTGTAAGAACTCTTCCTCTTCTTATATTCCCCCTTGTGTAAGTAATATGTACATACATACATGTTTCTTTGTTTTGTTTTGCTTTTGTTTTTGTCAAAAAAGTTGATTGTAATTAATAGATTAATGTAGAATAGAGTTCTTTTCCAGACACTAATTGCTTTTAAGTAGTATGTAAAATTTTGAATGATGGAAAGTATATTCAAAATGAAGTTTCTTTCACTAGGTTAATAACATTATCATGATAATATTTTGATTAAAAAAATTTGTACAATGCTCAATGTTTTGGCACCAGKTCTTTTTTTCTTGGTAGATATTAATTAAGTTTATTAGTGATGGGAATTGTTTGGAAAACCATTACCATTACCACAAAGCCAAAGGGTTGCAGTAACCAACCATAAACCRTATACTAAGTGATCTATAATCAACTGGTGATGAACCTACTGCTTAAAACCTTAAAAACGGCGTACAATTATTTATATTTTTATCTTCCTCAGTATTTATGGTGTGAAAAGGTTATTGCACTATATTTTTGTAAGCAGAATGACCAAAAATGGTAAGTATTAAACGTTTATTTTGATAAGTGCAGTCCATTATACTTTTTAATAGTCATGTAAAATTTCTTGAAATGTCTTATTTTCAGCCAGAAAATTAGAAGATCTAAAAGAAAAGAAAAAGTCTGTGGTAGGTTTTCATGTTTTCCATCATTAGWAAAACCAGGCAAAAAGTCTGGTCAGTGTTTAGTGAGGAATCTAAGAAGCCACAACGTAGTTACAATCATATATAATAAAATACTTTAGGACATCATTTTAATGTTTTATCAAGTGCAATAGCAATGCATGGTTTACCCTTCCTCATCTTCCCCTATACTTCCCCATGCATACATTGTTGTTGTACATGATGTTATCAYWCTCAGCAATGATCATAAGATGAAAMCGGWCACAATATTTCAAGAGGACAGGGGGAGGCATGGGTTCTGTCATGTTTTTCAAGATATTAGTGACTTTATATAGTTACATGTTGCACTGTCTCAGGTAAAATGTCTATAAGGTTAAGGTAGGAACTTGATAAGGCCATATCATCATGAACCATGGGGTAACCTTCTGTCATATGATCATTCGTCTCTCCCAGAACTAATTGTATTCTTAATGGAATCTGTTGGAGCTTGTTCCATAAATTGAAATTCACCTCTTTCCAGAGTGGTTGACCCTTTAACCCCCTGGTTTTCCAATGAAAATGAAGCCAAGACTTATCTCGTAAGAGATTATAGCCAAACATTTTTAATCTTTTTTTATTAAAGCTTGAAGAGGTCATGGAAAAGGAAACATATAAAACAGCCAAAGAACTGCTGGACAAGTACGATCCTGATTCAGAAATTGTTAAGGTACTTTACAATAGAAACCTCAAGAATACATTTATATTTATGTCAAAGCTCAGTTTATGTTGTTAACTGTAGGAGGAAGAATTGTTAAGATTTTATTAAATTGTATATTACCTATGTTTTCGTAAAAGGATAATAAGAAAGAATCAAATTTGCCAGCAAGTCAGCCTCAAAGTCCTGTAGTTATGAATGGCCATTCTTCTGGTATGGAAATGTTATTTTACTTTATGTCATGAAGTAATATGGTTCAAAGTGTGGTGAATAATATGTGTAATGAATATATCGTCACAGTGTAAATAATAATCTAAGCGATTATTCATGAATGTATAATCGCCCAAAAAAATGTGTTCCTTAGTATGGATGGGCTCACACAATAAAATGACCGCTTGCCAACATAGTTGTCTTCATAACTCAGTTTGGTAGAGCACTGCCCCGGCAACACAGAGATCATGGGTTTGATTCCCGTTGAAGCCCTAATATTTTTTGGGCAATCCATACATTTATTAATAATCGCTTTAGATTATTATTTACACTGTGGCAATCATATTCATTACACATTTTACTTCATCATAATCAATGATAACTGATATTCATTAAGAGCAGCTACATGTAAGCATAACCCTATGGATTTTATATACATTTCCTAACTATTTCATATCATCTCTCTGGTGAGAATGACTTCACTTCACTGAGTGGAGTGATAGGATTGTATTGTATGACTTTATTGTGACATACTGATGTAGTGCCCATGTTAAACAGCAGAACATGTTTAAAGTATTGAGGAGTACATTTTATTTTATGTCAGTGACACTAGGTTTATATTATTGTAAGGACTAGGTGTCCTTGTGTCACTATAATTTTCCATCWCTTTTCACCTTACTTCTATGAATGTTGTTTCTTACAACAAGGACAAGAAAAGAGCAATACAACCAAAACATTGATCATATAAGACAATGAGATAAACAAGACAGCAGTGTTATCAATTGATTTGGGTTTTTAGTGGTTGGACTGGATATGATGGGTAAATCCTTTCTGTACTTTTTCATCAAAAATAGCCAGTGTGACATGCAAATAGTTATCATGCGGCAAATGTGGTTGAGGCACCACTGGGCATTTGTGACTGTAGAGTGTGCAAACGTGCTCTTTAGGTCAGCTCTCAAGGACTTTAGTGTTTGGGATTCTGTTTTCCCACTTGATGTTAGTAAGGCATTAATGGTTAGACCAGGTGAATTGTCCACTATTCCTGTCCATGTCTTTTATATCCTTGTGTGTATGCAGTYCTGGGTGTTTTCCCCATCTATCTCTTGTCACACAATCCACACCTGATCTCATACATTATRCAAAGAAGATATCAGAGAAACTGGAGTTGCCTGTGTTATTGTAAGTTATTAAATCTCCCTTGGCTTTGGGGACRTTTAATCCCTAATATCCCTCASTGCCATGATATAACTTATAATAAAATGATAATAATTCATTTTATTGACAGAGCTGAGAAGGAGAAATGTTGCTGGAGCTGCCCCAAGTCCAGGAGGAACATTACAGAAAGCTGTTTCTGTACCATCATTAACAGGGTCTCTTCCTCCAAGTCCACAAAGAAGATTAGACACAGAACTCTCTCCTGGGACTAGTCCTGGTACACCACAGAGAGCTAATAGTATGTCCAATATCTCTGGACCAACAGGTACTGATATTTGCTTTATGAAAGAAAAAATATTCAGTATTACAGAAAATAGCAGAGGGAAAAAAAGTAAGAATCAGATAATGTCTGGACAATTTCTGGTCAAACTTTCAGCTTGACTAGCTAAAACTAAGCTGATTTGACCGGTCAAACATGACCATTCCTGGATATTGTAAACCTGTTTGCTCATATGCAGTTTTTTTTAATAAAAAAAATAATTCTCCCATCAGTATTGTTTTCTCTGTGATAGAGAACCATTTGCTAGTAAAATGTATATAATTACAACTTAATGGTGGAAACTAGCAGTACACTAGTTGGGTGGGGTAAAAAGATAAATTTAACTAAAAGGTTCTTTCACCTATTTTTTACGGTGTAAAATTTATCTTTATCTGCATATTACAACTTACACTTTATTAAATGTTGATTATAAACTTTGCTGACTGTTAACACAGTACAACCTATACCACAAGGGGCATTTGTAAGACCACCTGGACCACCCAAGCCTATTTTTCCTGTTCTGCCAAGGGAGCGATCAACTATGGACAAGGTAATATCAATACACTTGCACTTTCATGGATCCACAAAACCTCAACAAACTTACAGATCATTACAAACTTGGAAACTATTACTTGTTAAAAAATGTTTTAGAATGAATGACTATGAGAGACCATTTGCAAATAACAGTGAACCTCAAAATACCTCACTAAAAAGCTCTTTAATGATCTAGTAGGCTCACTTGATACATGCATAAAGAAATCATTTCACTTCAAATATAAGTATTATTAGAAAAATTATATTTAGTCAGATTTTTGTTGGAATCTACTCCAATGCATATTCTTTTTAGTAATTCAGGGGTTAGTTTTGCCTGATAGGTTGAATTGGAGTGAAGGCTATGTTTTACAAAGCGGCTATTATTTATTTATTTTTTTCTTTTAAGGCTTTGTCTCTATATATTTCAGGTTGTRGAATACTTAGTTGGCGATGGACCAAGTAATAGGTATGCATTGATTTGTAAACAATGCCTCTCACACAATGGCATGGCTTTGAAAGAAGAATTTGAATATGTYGGTAAGTTGGTCTTTTTCTAGTGTTTAAAACCTGTATTTGCCAATATGCTATTGCTGYCGTGGTCCTGATTTGATACCCAGTCTGAGACTTTTTGTTTGAATAGGTTTGTTAGCAGGATATCTTACTAGTACTTGCTTTGGATAGAGTTTATCCTCCCTCARTCAAAAACGAACTGTGAGGAGTATCATGTGCTAAAATGATTAATGCTGCTCAGGCAGTGGGCATAGGGTAGTATGTGTGGGTTATTTRGAGGGTTACATTAATATTTAATTTTCATCCTTTGTGCAGATCTTTTTCACCATTATTCATGCTGATCAAGATAGTTTAATTTATTCTCAGAAATTATTCTTTATTATAGCTATTAAGTTATGATTGACAAAATTAATGAAAAACTTATAACATTATTGTTTTATTTATTGAAAAGAAAGAATTTGAAAAGGATAGAACGAAGAAAGAAAGAAAAAATGACCAAATTATTAKTAGTAGAGGTCATCAAAAAGCTGATTTTATCTTAATTCTCAGCATTCAGRTGCTGCTATTGTTTCTATTTCAACCCTGCAAGGAAGCAACGGCCAATTGCACCRAAGCTAGAAGATGATCCTATGACACCTGGGAGATCTCGAAAGAATCCACCATCGCCTCCAAGACCAACAGGACAAATAAAACAGGAAATAAGGGAAATTACAACTACAGAGGAGGAAGAAGATGATGGTACTTGTGATATACAATATGTACACTCTATGATCTGTCAGCTAGCTCAGAGGGCTATTGTCTGTGCTCACATTGCATTCTTTATTTACATTTTGACTTCTTTTCATTTGCAGATGACAACTCAGACGAGGGAGCTCCTACAGATTGAAGAAGCTTCAACTGTAAAATAAGAGATTCAACCATGGATACGTTGTACCATGCTTGATTGTTATTTCAGAGTAGCAAAAAGAAACACATGAATGTTTCTAATGACTACAGATTGGAGAGTAATGGAACTATTAAATTATGAACACTTTATTAACAAGACAGATGTTCTAAAAACATACAAGGAAATGTTGAAACATTGCAATATTTTCAAAATGGTATGAATAGGCCCTTTAGCAGCTGGGGGTCACGTGACCACACCTACCTTAAATCAATCAGCTATCAATAAATGATGTTCAGAAATGGAAAGAGCAGGTTTATGTTCGTAAAGCAGCAAATGTAAAATATTATTTTTTTCTAAAGAAATATATGGGAAAATAGAACTGGAGAGCACTGGAGTGCAAGCCTTGCTCTCCAGTTGTGTTTTTGCATATATGTTTCTTTAGAAAAAAAATAATTTTAAATTTGATATCAATTTTGAAATATTTAGTGTTGAGACTTGAAACTTTCTTACTTTKTTGTTCCCATCTTTTCATTTCTGAACATCATTTTTTGATAGCTGATTACTTTAAGGTAGGTGTGGTCACGTGATCCCCAGCTGCAAAGGGCCTATTAAGTCATCCAAATTGCCCTATCATGTGATATATGTCACACCAAAACATTCAGTTGTTTTAATGCTAATGATTATGGTCACCAGAGKGGGGCAGGGTGACTGAATATCAAAGAAAATTTACATAAGCAATCATTGGTCCAAATTTGCACTTCTGAGCGTCTATTCTCAATGTAAAAATGCCATGTTTTCTTTATGTGATAGGGCAATGCATGGACGTATCCAGGATTTCATGGGGGGGGGAGGGTCCTTACATACCAAATTGTCACTGTGACGTCAATATGATGTCGTGTAAATCTATGGTTTTCAYGCTTTTTTGGCTTTTAAAGGGGGGACACGGGCACCCTGTGACCCCCCTGGATACRTCCCTGCAATGAACACTGACTAATGTTTTTTACTAGCAATAAGGAAAAATGCTTACTAAGCTCACTTCCTTGATTTTTTTGCTTAGCATTTTAATCTGGATGGGCTGTGTTTTACAGATTGGGAATTTAGAAGCAAAAATGAATAAATTACATATTATTTCATATGAAAAAAAACAAGGTCATACTCACTCATTATCAATAGTTTTAAAAACTTGTCTATCCAAAGCCTTCAAATATGTAAGACACTCTTTGGTAGTGATTGGTAGCCTTGTTTTGGTATAAGCCTGATAGGGTCATTCAAACTGGATTAAGGTTCATGTTAGGGGTTCAGAAAGGGTCAAGGAGTTTGGCGGAGCATGACTAGAAGAAACTATAACATTCCTTCTCTTCCTCACACCCCCACTCCTGCCCACTCCCCTTCCCAATTTCGGTTTTTTGGATTGAGTGTGTGAGCATGCTCAATTTGCTGCAGTTCTGATCAAATCACTTATTGTTCTCTACATTATTTTAAAACATTATTAAGGTAATTATTTCCTTGAAGAGAAGAAAGAAAACTGAGATTTTATTTATATTTAATAATTTATAGTTGACATTAAATTTATTGCTTGTCAAATGAAAGTACCTAAGACAGAGATGGAATGAATAAATTGCTTTTAAAATAAAACCATTCAGTTAAAACATGGACTTGTTGCTGTGTTGTTACAAAACGCAWTTCTTTCCCGTCATTAACGAGATTTGCAGGGACGTGCCCATGTGCTTCATGGCAGGTGGTTCCAGCTTTTTTGGCGGTTTCAGCATTGGAAAAGGCGACAAGCTGCAAAGTTGCTGTAGTRTTTTCGATTTATACCTGACCGACGATGGACTGTCCGAAGATGCGTTTAATTAGTGATTTGGCAATAAAGTATCATATTTCAAAATCTTAGCATGTCAAAGAAGGGGGAGGGAGATTCCGGAACCCCTGGAAACTCCTTTTTGCGTGCGCAAAACAGAAATCCGGTTTACTCACATACCGATATTTATATTGGTTAATGGTCGATATCATAATAATGATCGGTATTTGTGAGAAATTTCTGTATGGAACGAAAAAAAAATATGGAATGGAAATTGAAGGTTTTCCCGCCCTATTCTTGTCATTTTTGAGCTCGCGCTATTTTTGTTCTTTTTCAAAGCAGTTACTGCTATAATTTTTATCATACAGTCAATAACTGTATGATAACTCAGTCAATAAGCATTTTAAGTATATGACAGCGTTTTTTAATGTAAATTCTAAAATATTTAGGATACTACGCGCGCTGTGATTGGTCGAAAACCATGTTTGATTACAGTATCAAAACACGCTCGCGCGCGTCAAAAATTTCTTTTTTCCCGCCGTTTGCATTTGTTGTTGTTATCATTCATTTTCAAGTACAATGAACGAATAAATGCCTATTTATGATGTCCTCTGGGATGATATCCCAGAAGAAGAGCTATCAAACGTTTTTTAGAAGGTCTAGAAGCTACAGAAGCTGCAGACAAATGCAATGTAAGGAGAATTCATCGTTTTATATCGTATCAAAAGTCAGAATTCTTTACAATTTTCGTAATCTTTTAATTTTAGAAAAGAAATAAAAGACGAAATTCCGTGTTTCATACTCTGATCGGAATTTCGTCTTTTATTCCTTAAAAAATAAATAAAAGCGCGCGGAACTTCAAGCCGGGAAAATACGGGTTTGTACGGACCTGTCGCGAAAAGGCGTACGGACCCCATCACGTGACCATTTTCCAAAGTTTTCAGTGAGAGCGCGCGTAGGTCCGAAATGCGGGTCATATGATAACATTTTTTATTTCGGTAAGAGTTTCGTCCCGACTATCCGGTATGAAAAAGTAAACGACCTTGCTCGCTTCTCATGTGTTTAGCATGACCGAGATCTTGATGTTATAAAGTCTGARGATAGTGCATAGTTTTTCACTTTTCAAGCCGAAAATAATATATGTCGATTCCTGTTTGACATATTTGGAAAACGCGCGCGTATTTTTTCTTCATTTCACCTCGTTTTGGACTTCGATCAACAAAGCCATTCAAGTGCATAAATTAATTCTCWTGTCTGTCAATCAAGCCTTCCATTCTCCAATGAAAACCCCGCCTCCGAATAAGGTCGCTTTGTGATTGGTCAGTGAGTGAAACCCTGTTGTCGCATCACAAAATGGCGTCTTTGCGTTGTTCTGACGCTGGTGACCCGCCCCAAGCCCATGGCCCGAAAAAGCACCATGATGGAGAGGGGCCATCGTTATTTTGAATTTCCCTCGCATTCAAAGCCCAAATCGATCCACACTTTCATTCACCGTTTGCTAATGCGATGCTTGGATTRCAGCGCGCTTATTATACCTTATGAATCGCTATATGAGCGAAATAAAGCGAATTTGTGTTTCCGAGAGAAGAGCAAGGTGTCATTCAATACGATTTGGCGTTCCAAAAAAGGGCGCTGAGAGGGTGTGTGATTTTTTCATTCGCCCTCGAGTGGTCAGCATATCTACGTAAGCCGTAATGGCGTTCACTATGGTCATTGCTAACTAACACCAGATCCTTCTGTGTAATTTGAAGGCCAAAAGGCTTAGAGAATTGTGTGTTCTTTATGGAAGAAATACGACGAAGTTCTGGCGTTGTTGATTCAAGAAAGCTGGAGCGATGTACGTGGAGTTTATTGTTTGTATAAACTAGTGGCACGGAAAATTGTATGCATATTTAAGCGCTGTGTTACTCGCCTTGTGCTGTTGGCAATGGCTACACTTTCTCTTGAATTTTTGGGTTCCTAAATGTGTTGTGCTGTTGAATTGAAGGATTTTACACCGATATGAGATCATGGCGGAAAATAGTACGTTGGATTCTTGATAAAGGGCCTTGAATTTCTGTTTATTTTCAACCGGATTTTACCAGGTAGTAAGCTCTATTGTTGGCTGTACTCTGAAGGATATCTTTTCCTTTCTATATAGCCGATGTTCTTGTTAAGAAAGACCCAGGAAATGAAAGCATGTTTGAAGGAAAAAATATCCATTCTTCCCCGATCGATGGAAAACTACTGTGTAGTTACAGCGAGAAACTCTGTAAGCAGCGTCGATTGAATGGCTACGCGTTCTGTATACGTCATGTATTAGAAGACAAAAATGCTCCGTTTAAACAGTGCCAATACGTCGCAAAATACAATGGACAGCAATGTACGAATCCTATACCCTTTCCCGAAGATAGAATGTAAGTTTTAGTGCTATATTTATCCCAGAAAGTATGTTTGTAGCGAAGAAACTTTGATCCTTATTTTGGCGAACACGATTCTCAAACCATGTCGTGATATCACCATCTTTAGATAAGCTTAATGTTTTCATTCTGAAAAATAAACATAATTCTAATATCTACTTCTTAAACTTTCCTTCAGATATTGCAATAGTCATTTACAAGTTCTAGGTCTTGTTCCTAAGAAAACAAGGCGAAAAAAAGCGAGTGAAAGTCAAGATTCCGTTGACAAAGAATCGACTCACACCATGCGCGAATCTTCTAAACCCCGAGCAGATGTGTCCATTCCTGATCATCAAAAGATGGCTTTYATTTCGCCAGTTGTTCAACAACAACGCTACAAAAAGCAGAAGATTAAAGTACAGAAGAAAGACCCTGATATTCCTGCGATTTCTGAGTTGAAAGAATGTTTGAAAACRTCGAAACGTGATCGAGAGAACTTATTCGAAAGCTATGGTAAGGAATACAAGACCTTTTGACTCATTTGGATTGTGTTTCGTTTTCCTCAATTGTGTTATAAAGTCGTCTAAAAATGCTGCATGATGTTGGTTGATGTTTGAAAACGGTTTTACTAATTTTTTAAAGTCGATWTTTAAAAAAATGTTTCAAACCAACAATTCCCGGCAATCGACCAAAATTTCCGTATTTTTAATTGTGAGCAAAAAATTYATCTTTATTTCTCTTTCAAATTCACTTCATTTTGAAAATAGTGTTATTTTCCTCGATAAAATATTTCCAAAATGATATTATTTTTAGTGTTTATTATTACTTATTCCACCAGTTCCCACGTTATGTCCACGTCGTGATYACAATAACATTTCGTCTTTGTGCTCTAAACTCAAAACGTGGCTCTTTATCAAATTCATTTTGGGTAAATTGGCATATTTGGTACCAAAATCCATTTGTCTTCGTCACGGTASTGTTTGTCCTTGATCTAATCTTGTAGACATTTCCCTCTTCCCTTCTTGACATTTAGGTCGCTCAAAAATTCTCTGAATTCATTTGGAATGTTTATTTGTTTTATTAGAATAAATTCTATTTTTTCTAGAACAAAATAATTTCCTTATCTGTGCTTTTCCCGCGCGCAGTAATTATAACAGTAGATTATTCATATAATAGTTGAAACGAATGTGCATTTTTTGTATTTTATCAGTGAATTTAAGTGAGTAATTATTATTTCCTGTCAATATTTTGTCATTGGTATTGATTACATTGAGATGAGCTACTAAAGTTGGCCAAGATTGTYCCAGCAGATCTAGTGTTCTTAATATAATTCTCACCTTCCTGATGATATTATAACCAAGAATAGTATACTACATCTATAAAAGTTTTTATTACAAATAACTTGAAAAATTGAGATTGTCTACTATGATTCTGTTRCAGACAATATCCAAAATGTCAGCTGTTTGCATAACGTTTTGACAGTGCAGAAATTAACTTTGCTAATGATTTCCATAGAAACAGCACAAACAATTCTGTCCACATTTAGTAAAGACAGGGTCTTGTGTATGAAAAGCGCTGGAATATGTACCCTGCGAACAGTGTTATTACCTTACCTCAGTAAAAAATTTGTGAATGGAATATTTCCTTCGCGAATTTTTTAATGAGGTAAGGTAAATAACACTCTGTTCGCAGGGTATGGAATATGTATATGTGTTCAAATGTTTTTCAACAACATAACATGCTAAATGTTGTCTTTATATAAGCCCAGGCATGGAGCAAGCCAAATAGCTCCCCACAAAAGACAAATTGATAGTCAAAAGAGAAAATATCAAGATATATATAATAATATTGATGCTAGTGCATGCATGCACAGTTTATTATTTATATGCTGAAGTCACTAACCAAAACAACTGCAAATTTATAYTTTTTTCTATGGAATAAGAATAGAYCAAATCAAGGTTATTTCTGCCATTTGACACAAGCYAGTTAACRAAAATTCATCGCCTCCAMTGGACACAGCAGCCTAAAATTAGTAAGCCTGCYAAATTTGGCTTGCTTACTAATTTTAGGCTGTTCTGTCCAGTGTAGGCGATRAATTTTCRTTAACTGGTTTGTGTTAAATGGCGGAAATAACCTTSGTTTGGTCTATTCCTGATTAAGATGCTGTCATTAATTTCATGCCAAACTTCCAAAAAATGGGTTCAGACATTCACAGGTTGTGGGTGCTACTTTTTAGACAGGCAGTCTCGAGCTATTTGTCAAAAGAAATAATTATTTGTCCTCTGAAATCCATTAGTGACCATCTTATATAGGTCAAGATTGACTGAAGGTTTATTTCATATATTGCCAAAATATTAATAAAGAATTTGTCGCRACAGGTTATATTACTAAGTGCTTTCTTTTTATTTTCAGAAATTGATAGCTCAGACAGTGATAGTAGTGATGGTGATTGTATGCCGTGGCAGCAAGTCTGGCTCCAGCCTCAGCAGGAAGATAGTCATGGTACAATGTCTGGAAGGTAAGGTTATACAGAAAATTATTGCAAAATGAAGC